AGGGTAATGTCTTCGACTAGATACGATTTGTGATCTTTTGACGTATCATTGAAAGAAATCGGTTCGGTGAGAGCTGAGAAAAAGTGGTAACAGACACAAAAAAAAAAAAAAAAAAAAACACATCTTAGTAAAACCAATACCTTCTCAGCTTCGCATCGAAGCTAAAAATTGTTTATACAGAGTGTTCAGTAAGTCAGGAAACGGGTATCTATTGTTCTCATTATTACAAACAATGAGAGCAATAGAAACCCGTTTCCTGACTTACTGAACACCCTGTATATATATAATATTGATGACAAGCACGCGTGTACGGGTACCCGTAACCAAAATTAATTTATACAGGAATAGTGTAGCCGTCGTGGGGTGAGCGAGGCGTGGGGTGGGGTGAATGCGTTATCGCAGTTTAGTCTCAAGGCCATAGACGACGGAATATGCGATAACGCATGACGTTTCGAGAGTTACATACATACATACAGGTGAAACTAATATAAGCGTGTTAAAAAGGTTTTTACCCTCATCCCCAAACAAAAACTCAGTTACCTAGACGTAGTTGGGTTTTTGCTATGAATAACGTAGCTAACTAGATACGTCATTACCAGATTATCAAGTTTTACTATGATAATATTTATTGTCTATCCACTATTTGATTATAACTGTGTTATCAAGAAAACGTTAATTGGCATTTACACTAGCTAAAAGGTTAAGTAACGACTTAGTAATAGAACTTTTTCTTCAACACAGTACAAATGAAGCAACTATCTAAATACTAACCTCAGCTGGATTTAAAACATTTATCTTTGTAATTGTATTTACATAGTTTTGTGTATCATTTATTTGGCTAAGTGTTATGACTGGCCTTTTAAGATCTATTGATGCCAATCCAACTGTTCCTTGAGAAGAACACCTTCCTTCAGTCAAAACTAAATTTAAACATACGTAATTTTTAGTAATTAAATTTTTCTTAGTAAAAAATTTATATTTTTTACCAATTATTACACTATTATTTATGATATTTTTAGTACTTTCTGACAATTTTGATGTAATGGTAGATGATGTAGGTTTTATACTGGTATTGTTCGGCTTATTTTTGTTTTTCGGACCAGAAAAACTAAAATTAAATTTTATGAATTATATAAACAATAAATTAATTATACATAAATATTTTTTCTTTTGTTAATAAAAGGTTTGCTCTTTTGTTTAAAATTTATTTTAAAAATTCATAATCAATTTATTTTTTTACTTCAATATATAAATTCAACAGTAGTTCAATTTATACTAGCTTATATTATTTTAAATACACAACAGACATTCTCACTAGAAAGGCGTAATAAACACTCTCAATTCTCTCTAGACTGCAACAATGCAATTCATTTTTTTTTAGTATAAAAATTTACAAAAGTATAATGTGAGAATTATTTCAACAGAACTTATTAGATTAGCCTTGATCGATTACTGGGTATAATATTTACTTGGGCACTTGATCAAACGATGTCTGCGGTATTAAAAAATTATGTGGGGTACTATTAGTCACCATATCGACAACTTGTTGATGAATAATATTTTTCGACGTTTCTCGATCATATAATTTTGTGTTAAACAATTTCTCCATATCGCTGTCATTTATAGTTGACTGATGAGATGATGAAGCAATATGAGATCTTAACACAGGCGTTCCTGTGATAACTGCAGGAGTATTTGGTGTTTTATCAATTTTAAAAGCAGAATATATTTGACCGACATAGGATGAAGTGCTAGTATTAGAAAAGTTTGGACGACGATGACTAGGATTTAAATGATCTTTTTTAGGCCATTGAGGAACCTTGTATCGACCCATTCGAACTGCAAACACATAATAATAATGTATTATAAGAAAACAATGAGTAGATTTGTTAAGATTTTTTTACAAAAAAATGTTTATTGTATCTATAGTAATATTTAGATTACTTGAGATAAAGTAATTTTAATATTTAAAGGAATTATGAATTTCAGGCTGGTACACTATACATACTACTAATCTTTAGTACTTTTGACCCCCTCTAATCAGTGATACCTTTATATTTTATAATGAGAAGAAAAACATAAATAAATTCTTAATAAATATTTTTNTATACATACTACTAATCTTTAGGACTTTTGACCCCCTCTAATCAGTGATACCTTTATATTTTATAATGAGAAGAAAAACATAAATAAATTCTTAATAAATATTTTTATCAATACATCAATTATTTTTCATAAAAACCCCAACACAATGAGGTCGCAGTACATAGGAGACATGGAAAATTTGGAACGAATAAATTCAGATATCATCATAAAAAAACCCTTGGATGCTAATCTATTAAATTTCATAGTTTGTATATTTTTATTATATAATTTCTATAATTTCATTCGAATTTTAAGTGTTTGTTAAATTAATCACATGATTGAAAATAACGTAGTTTTATTTTTAAATTAATGTCATTTTCAAATAGTAGAAAATCATCGGAACAAATATTTTATCAACATTGTAGTACACTTTAAAAGCTATAAATTGATATAAGTCAGAAGTTGTAAGACCTCTGGAACATTTTCAAAAATTGAAATGAAAAAAAAATTGACATGCGTAGATGATCTTTTTCAAACCCTCTTCTACTTATGTTTTTTATTGGAGATTTATAAATATCATACAAAAAGAAAGCTTATTATTTTTAGTATATTCTATTATAATATTATTTTAATCAATACTAAAAAAAAAAGTTCTATCAATTTTAAAATACAGAAAAAATGTAAAGTTGTATAATTTTGAGATATATTTTTTTCTTTTATATGTCGTTTCTTTTTAGTTTATATTTGGTTTATTCAAATATTACGATCAAAGGTTATAAGAATGTAATTTAAAATTGAGACAACTTGATAACACATAAATATAACGTGTCAACCAAGAATGTTAAAATATAAAATCCAATAAGAAATTAAAAATAATAAATATTTAACTCAGGTATAGCTGATTTCTTTACTTTTTATGTCATTCGAAGATAAATTATTTACCTATGAATGGCAAACAGAAAACATATTTGGAATTGCATAAAAATTATTATTCTGTCATTATAATACTAATATCAAATTATAAATTTCATAGAAAAACTTACCAACTTGAAAATCATCGTTTGTAGCTTTCTGACGATTACCTGAGTTGTTGACAATGTTCATTATTAAATAACAGCTGAAATTAATAATTTTTAAAATGATTAAATTTAAAAAACACTTATATTTATTAATTAAGTCACTTTAAAAGTTTTATTTATGTTATTATAATATTTAGAAATAATAATAATATTATATTTATAATATTAATTTTGTTAACGAAAAAAATGTATTTTTACAATGAAAATGAATGTAATCATTGTTTGAAATTGTAGTCGTAAAGGATTAATCATTCTGAAGAGAATTTTTTTTCGATAATTTAAAAAAAGGTAATTTACCAAAATAATGTATAATTGTTATTTTTTTTCTTGACAAATAAGTTTATAATTAATGAAGGAAAAGAGTAACTCTTTGTTATGTTTATTTCAGAAACCCCTTAAGTACAGAAATTTAAACTATCGAGAAATTAATAAAAACTTCTCATTTTCCAAAAGTTTTTTTTTCCTTCTTGGTGGAAGTAAAGGAAGGTTCAACACATAACACTGAATATACTCATATACTCACCAAGATTGAAGGGAAGAGGTAAATTTAAACCCTTACTCTTTGCAGTTATGGTGTTTCTGCAATAAAATACATTTACAACATTAATTTTCTAGTTTTAAGGTAATAATAAATTTAATTAGAGAAAAAATTAACAAAGTAGAATTTTGATGAACTTTTACAAATTAAATTATTACAAGCAGATATTTAAAAGTATCAAAAAAAAATTTTTTATGCAAATTAAAATGTTTTAATTTATTATTACTGTTCTTCATAATCTGAATCGTCCATTCTTTCCTCCTGAGCTGATGTTGGCCAACTCAAAATAATATTATAAAAATTTGAATAATCTGTAGTATATTCCGAGAGCTTTTTCAAGTCATCAATTTTTTTTTTATTTATTGGAACTTTCCCAGTAGAGTAGGTTTTGGTAGTTGGCAGATCAGGAGATCTAGTATCTCATCTACGTGCATATTATTTGTCTTATTACGATTTTCTATAAGTGGTATTAACATTTTAGATTTTGTAGGACATTTAATTTCTTTTTTTTTATCAACGATTGTAGATAAATATCCTAACTATTTTTATTTTCCATTGAGTAAAATTTTGTCCAAATATCACTCAACACTTCCTTCGTGATAAGCTTAAGACATTTAGCAGAGCATTTGCATTTTATTTCATGAAGAGGAGTTTTTTGACAAATTTTTTTACCTTTATAATTTACATATTCTTTTCCTTGAGTTCAGGATTCCTTAATAATGTTTCGTTTGTAAGTTTTTGAATGGACAACACCTTTTCTTCTTTTATTCGGAATATCTTCATTAGATTCAGTTTCACTCGACATTTTAAAACACAGTAAATGAAAAAAATAACCGAAAAATAATAAACTAAACAGCTAAATTAATACTAAATATATCACACTGATATTGTGTGCATATCGCCTAAATACTACTACAGTAATGCATAGCAACAGCAAGTGGGCAATATTTTGTAGCCACTATCGTAAACGTAAATAACAGTTATTATACTTAGTTACTAAGTATTAAATTTATAAATAAATTGTATTTGAAAAAAAATGATAATATAATTATTTTAGTGCAAAAATCTCATTTGCGATGTCACTTGTAGGGTTTCTGCTCTAAACAAATTATTCCAAAGATGCGATTAGCTGCATAAATAAGACGCACATATGAGATTTTTTCACAAATCGATGGATCTACTAATAGAATACAAGAAAATACAAAAAAAGTTGTTTTACAATTTTTGTCATTTAAGTGATTTCTGAAATAAACGATTCAGTTGAAGACAGGTCTGGAATACTATGCTAAATGTATTTTATATATGTTATAGTTAAGTAACTCTATGTTATGTTTTTAAATGTTGAAAAAATAATGTTATTTCAGAATTATATGAATGACTATATACTATTTTAAATAATAATTATTTAAAAAACAGAAAAAACATAAATTTGGGATATTGGTAATATTATTACCGTAATAAGTAAGAATTATGTGTGATGAGTTACATTTTGTTATGTTATTCCAAACAAGCCACAAACCAGTACAAATTATTAATAATTGACTTGAAAATTTAGAAATGTATTTTTACCAATGTTATAATTTTAAAGGTATTAGAGGGGTCAATTCATCTAAAAATAAAAAAATATTTTTACGCTGCTATTTAATTTTACAACAAAATTGCGCTAACTATATACCCTTTAAAGTGGCTAAACAAAATTTATAAATGCATACAATTTCGCGCTATAATTAAAAGTGAATAAAATTTTACAAATTTCAATCAAATTATTACAAAAGTTACAATTTTACACTTATTCCACTCTGGCCAAACACCACAAAATAGCTACCGAAATATAGTTGTTTAAATAAAATTATTTAAATAAATAAGTATGCAAGTATAAATAACAGTTATTTTTTTCTAACTAGTGAAAATATGTTAAATATAAAAAATATATTTCCGAAGATGAGGTTGGAAAGATAAACGCCCCGTTTGTCTTCATGAAAAGTACGACGTCACTAAATCTATACGCATCATCACAGTAAGGACTAAGAACCAAAAGTTAGGAAATTAAAAAGGACTATTTTAGTTTATTATTAAAGTATATTAATTAAAAACACTTTTTTGAAAAAAATTTTATTTGTAAAAGTAAACGTAAAAGTATTTAAAAGAACCATTAAAAATTTTTATGTTCTAATATCTCAATAAAATATTTATTAATACTTTTTCATTAAAAATCACTTACATGTTGTTTTGTAAAATGAATATTGTATAAATACAATGTCGGATAATAAATAATGATTTATTACTTTTAAGTTAAACTCATAAAACTTTTTTTTGGTGTGCGTATACGTATAAACTAAATACATAAAACAAAATATCAGCTTAAGTACAACTTAAAACTTTATGTTTTTTAAAATTACACACAGTAAATTTAATTTTAAAAATTATGTTTAATGTACCAAGTATAGTATGTGGTTTAAATTAGACGTAATTAAAGTTGTATTAGTTAAAGTAATTATTAATTGAAGTGTATCGAATACATTTTTATGTCAACTTTCGGAAGAAGTCCAAGAAGACAGAAAAAAAGATTATAAAAAAATAAGACTTCACCATACTAGAAAAAATTCGGCGTATAATAGCAATGAAGATTTAATGCATATGCTATTAGTATCAAGTGATCCATATATATCATCAATGTAATTATTTTCAAAAAAATATATATAAATAAATTTATATCGATGCGCAAAATTTATTTGTCAATTCGAAGATGAAATAAATAACTTAATCAATTCAATATCAGAAATCGAAATAAGTGAAAGCTAATTGTAAATAAATGTATGAATTGGTATAATCTTATTAGCCTTAAGTAGTTATTTTTGTCCACTGCTAAACAAATTATAGTTATAAAATCTAGAATACTTGCTCTAAACAGTATCTATACATTGATACTTGGGTAAAATAGGGTAATTTTTAGTATTATGCTTTTTAATTTTCAAAACAACTAAAAAAATAATCTATTTTATTAAAACGAGCATTACTAAGACATAAAAAAGATTTTTACATCTTTGACCTTTACTTTTAATAATAAAAAAAACAATTTTTACTTGTTAAAAATATTGACAGCTAAAGATGTTTTTCTTAATGTTAAAATAACCGTAATATAACCATATTTATACTTCAAACGGCTATAAATAACGACCGAATTAACATGTGACCTTGAAATTTTATATTTTGTCTAAGTAATATACTAGAATTGAGTTTTCATAAATATTTTAATATTGTGAGTACATTTTCAAATGGGATTTATGAGCGCCTAAAATTTGATTACAAACCACTGTGCTACGCCGAGCATAATAAGTGTTTTGTAAAAAAAATTTTACTCCAAAAGCAGTTTACTAGAAATTTAGTCTCGTTTGTAAAATAAATAATAATTAAGAAAATAATTTGGTCCGATTTCGGAATTTTGGATTTTTTCACCTTCCTTGTAGCATGTAAATTACAGTGATATATGAGAAAAACGAAAAAAAAATCGTTTTCATGTAGAAAAGGTGAACAAGTAATTCGGGTGGTTTGCGCGCGACTTGGAATATAAAAAAAAAAAATCCATATAAATCAGTAAAATATCGATAGACATCAACGAAATTTTCAAGATACTATTGGATTTTTACCTGATCTACTCGGACCTGGTAAAAATTTCAGGTTTTAAATCTAAAAACGCTAGCGGCATGAGCGTTTTTGTTAAAATTTTTAAACGCTCACGTTGTGTTAAAAAAAAAATTCTCATCTTCCCGAATAATTTTTCTAGAATAATAACGTTGTCGAACTCTATCATTTCAAAAATTTTTTTTTAAAATCAGACAACATTAAGTAATTTTGCCAGCATTATCTAATTTCTCAATGTTTTATTATGTAATAAGATTATAGTCTCCTTGTTTGTACGAATACACCAGGAATAAAAAAATTAAAAAAATACTCAAATAAATTTGATTTTTATAGTTCTTACAAAAAAAAAATTTTAGTACATGCGATACTTGGTTTATACTCATTTCCGAGTATGAATCGTAGAGATTAAAAAAAAACATAAGAATTGATATCATTAAAAATAATAAAATTGATGTTAAAAAAAATTCGTTGTAATTTATTTTACAGTTATTTAATCAAAAAAATTATTTTCGCTTTTAATTTAATGACGTAACTTATCATAAGTCATTAACATGCACCAAGACTGGTTTGACTGTTAACTGAGTGGTTTTCTTACTTAACGTGTGGTAAGCACAACAACGATATGTATTTGCGAGTGGATCTGTGTTAAAACACGTTTTAGACCTTGCTGCCTCTCAGTTACCGTAGACACGCGGTGTGCATCGCATTCTGTTGGTGTGACGTAGTGTACATGTTTGAATTACTCATAAATTTTAATTTATTTTAAAAAATTATTGTTATTTAAGGTATTTTAATTAATTAATGAAAACCTGTGTATTTATTTCGTTCGTGTTCCGTTAGAAGTACGCGACATTCGAACTATGGTCAGTTAAATTAAATAACTTCGTTTTTTTATTTGGGGGTCAACACCATGCATGTTCGGACTTCAGTGTTTATCGTTAGTATTCTAGTTTCAACGTTTGTTAACGAAAATGTGGGAAGTAATATTTCATCGTGGTGCAAAATGAATACTACTAAGATTGTACCACAAGAAAATGTTACCTTTGTGGGCGATGTGTTGTGGACAATGGAACTGCCTCCAAAAGCATACCCAATATCGGCATACCGTAGAATAGATAAAGAATACGAATTATGTATTTGCGAAGTTGAGTTATGCGTACAAAAGTGTTGTAATCTAAATCAAGTATTTGGAAAAAAAGGATGCGCTGCTAATAATGACACATTGGATGCATCTTTTATAGTAAGATTAGTAGATATTAAATAGTTAATAAGAAAAATCTATTATTAACCTTTCTGATAGAAAAATAAAATTATTTTTTTTATCGGGATTACTATTTTAATATATATATATATAATTCTTATTATATTTCAAGTTGGATTGAGGAATTTAAAAATGCCACATTTTTATAAGGTATACAGAATGAGAAGTAATTTTTAAATTTAATGAGGTTTGAGTTTTATTAAGTTATTTGTAGGTTCAAGAAACAATTTAAAAAATTAATACCTTCTCAGCTTCGCATCGAAGCTAAAACTGTTTGTAGGATATCTATTTGTTGCGATGCAATTATTGATTTAACGATATTTTTTGTAGGCTATTTCTTACCCAATATACTCAGTAACTAATAGTATATTCGGATAAGATAAAATTAAATGAGATGGTTATTTTTCCACCCCGATAAACTTAACTATGATTTCTAAATTTGTTATCTTTATTGACATTAAATAATAATGTATTTGTATTTCCTTTGCTGTTTTAGTGAAATTGTGTCGAAAAATTTTAGCTCATTATTATATCGCCGCTTAATATGCAATACCTCACATCCCACTTTTTGGCCTAAATGAGTTGACAATATTTCTGAGTTCGCAGAATAATAAACTTTAATTTTTAATTAATATTTTACTTCTTATAGATAAACCAATAGTGGTTTATCTATTATATTTATAATATAATAGATTAAAGTTATTAAATATATATAAACTTGGTGAGACACTGTTTAATTATCTTTATACATTTCAAATAAATTGTTTGTATTTGATATCTTGTTTTTATCTATGAATTTATCAATATCTATTATTTAATTTGACTTTTGATAAAGTAATACCAATGAGATCTCAATATTTGATAGATAATATTAATATTACTATAAATGTTAGTATAATAACATATTTACTATTTAATACTCAAGCGATGATAATCAAGGAAAAATTGTGCCTATGACCAAAATTTAACATGAAAATATTGTGTTTCTTTTATTCTTTCTAACTAACATTGAAGTTTACTATCGTGTAATAAACATAGAAATTCAAATGTTCGCAAACTTAAAATTCTCTAGAAATAAAAATACGTAACATTAATAAGAAATTGAAGACCTGAGAGTAACAACGAGGAGACATATTCATTTTTATTAATTTTTTAGGAGAAACAATTGTATGAAAACTTTTTCATTATAGCAATAGTACACAAATGTTTTTTCTAGATTAAATTTCTCCACAAATAATAGTAATGTAAAAATCATTTTGTAATAATATTAAATGATATTATTACAAAAGTAAATAATATTTTTAAGAAACAATACATTACTTTCTGAAAATTATATGTATCGTTGATGTCTTAAGGTTTTTAATTTTGCTACACAATTTTTGCACAAAATCTAAATTACAAAATAACTATCATGAAATTTTTTTAAGTGATCTTTTTTTTTTTAATAAATTTAAAAAATATTATAGTATTTATATTCTTAATCTCTATTTTATATTATAACTGTAATCGAAAAGTATAAAAATTATTTTAAAAAAATACTACAAAAAATTCTTTATTATAAAAGTTAAAGGATTTGTCAGAACATCCTGTATGCAGGATGACTCAGAATGTTTTGACAAATCCGATAACTTGCGATCCACTGAATATATTTTGTTACTTTTTTATAAATGTTATCAGAGTATGACACTATAATTAAATCATAAAATAAAAGTATAATATAAAAACGTCGATAATATTTTTGTATAAAATTGATGAATATTAAAAACTTATTTTTGTTTTTGTACGATAAAAATTCTTAAATATAATATTACTTTGCAAATTAATTTTTTGTCATATATTCTAGCACGCTAGTTTCTTAATAATATGACTAAGGTAAATATAAATAATAAACCCATAATATCAAATTATTTATACTTCAACTTCAAAAAATACGTTTAATATGACTGTATAAAAGGCCGAAAAATTTTTAGTTATAACAAATTCTAAAATACTGATATTTTAAAATATCGGAATAGGAATTAGTTATGTGAATTTAAAATTCGTGGTTCAGTATGAAATTTTTACAGTCAATACTCTGGACAAAAAACTAGAATGCTTCAAATAACATATATTTTTTTGAAAAGCCTATTAATAATACAAATAAAATTAAAGTTTTAATATAACTAAAATTTACATTAAAACTTTTTTAGGACAATGTTTCGAAAATCCTGACTTCTATTAAAAATGATTAAACTAAAGCATATGCAATTTAAATTAAGTTTGAAATGTTTTGTCGATTTGTCTTCTATGTTTTTATATTATATAATTAAAAGTAGTTTAGATGTTCAAAAATATAAAAATTATAAAAAGACACGAGGCCCCAGCAATCTTAGTTGTCGAGTTTACGCAACGGCACTGATAATAATCTAACGATCGCGTATGATTTATAATTAGTGATGGGAAATATCGAATAGTAACTATCGAACTATTCGATAGTCATTCAAAAAATATTCGATAGTTATACAATATATTCGAATAATTTAAAAAACTATTCGATAATTTATGCTAAAAACAAACTATTCCGTTGTATATACAAAATTCGAATAGTTATTCAATAGTTTAAAATATTTAAAAATGCCCATCACTAATTTTTACTATTATTAATTGTATAATAATTTATTTTAAGTATTCGTTAATTAACTTATTATTATAATTAAGTGTACTTAATAAAAATATTAGGTAGAACAATTCGAATAGTTTTTAAAACTATTCGATAGTATATGCTAAAAATAAACTATTCAGTTGTATAAAAACAATTCGAATAGTTATTCGATAGTTTAAAATATTCGAAAATGCCAAACACTATTTATAATCATTTACCAAACCATTTTGAAATTGTTGAGGTAATTAATTAGTCCTATAATTTCAAAATGTGTTAAAAATATTTTCTGGTGTTATTTCGCATTGAGATTTTTTTTATTTGAATTGGCTTAACGTTTTTTTAGTAAGTGAATTCTATATAAGTCTTTCAAAGTTTGTATGGGTACTATTCAACATTTATTTACTCTGTGAGACGGAATAATTTTCTGGTTTCTATCATAAATAGTTTCAAAAATGAAAAATTTTTGTTCAATAAGTTGAGGCATTTAATGATAAAGTTATATTAAGTTCCTTGTTACTAAAAATTATGACAATAATGACAATCAGATAATATATTTTCTGCATATTATCTATATTATTAGATTTTTGTATATTACGTTATGTATTGGCAAATAATAATTCGATAAAAATATGACAGCACGAAAGAAAATAGTTTACAATAATATATTAAATTCTCTGGTTTTATTTGGAATGTACTTTTGTAATAAAAAACATAAAATTTCACAAAGAATGTTAGTTTAACAAATAAATTTAATTCATAGAATATTATTACTTCGCACAATGAAATTAACACTTAGAAACCGCGCTACGGGCTGTTTTGAATAAAAATAATAAATAAAATGATTATACGAATCGTACATTTAATACTTACTTCTATGTAACTGTAAAACACTTAGGAAAATTCACTATTAAATATATATTATATTAGCATATGGCTACTATTAAATATAGTTATTTCTACAGTTTTATAAAATGTAGGAAAAAGAAAAGGTAGACAACAAATATTTATAAATGATAGTATATTTATAAACCACAAACCACGTCTTTGGTATTGACGAGTTCATGGAAACTAAATGTACAGTAATTCTCCATTAAATGTTTTTTTCACTAACTATTATTTTGTAGTAAGTTTATATGATGTTAAACTTTTATTATAAAATTGAGTTGTATTTAAAAAATTAAATTTTGCTGTATTATACACTTAATTATCATTTTGACCAATTTAAATTACAACGTTACTTTTTAACTTATGAGTAAAAAGGTATAGGATTTCAAAACTAATTTTTAAGGTAGGTCAAAAGTTTTCGTTAACACCGCCTTTTTACTTATAAAATTGTGGATAGCCATTATAAGTACATTTAAATGTTGCATGTAAAATATAAAGTCATAAATTGTAAATTTTGATATAATATAACTTATTTCGCGACATAATAAAATTACTGCTAATTAAAGTCTCATGAAATTTGTATTTATTAATTTGTTAAAGTTTTTACTTCAATAATTTTTACTAATCATTATTATATATTAGTACAGTTTAGCTGAGAACTAAACCAATGGCTACTTTTTTAAAACTGCGCAACTAAAGCTATAAAATGTATATTAAAATTGTTGAAAAAACAACACATTATTTTTACTATGTAACAATTAATTTATCTATACAATGAACAAAGACGTGCTAAAACATATTTTAAGTTTAAATAAGTATTTGTTATTAGTTATTTAACTTACTATTTGTATTCTTTTGTAACATTAAATTTTAAACAGATGCGCTATATTATTTTTATCGATTATTGATTTTCTATTTTTACACAAGGTGAATCTTGTAATGGAATAGAGGCAGGATATAGTTAAATATAATCAATTCTTAGTATGCATAATTATTGGTAAATATAATTTCTTTATATATATATGATACATCTTTACAATTATTCTTTAATAAATAATATTGACTTGAAGTAGATAATTGGATAATGTTTAAAACCCTAAACCCTCAATATATTTAATTGTCTATTTTTATAACAATTATTAATATATTTTATTTGTATTTGTATTTAAAAAAAATCATGCTCAACAAAGAAAAATTAAACAAGACCTTAGTAAATATTTAAAAAAAGTTAATTGTTTTTAATTTTGTTTGTTTTAGGTGCCTAAATATGTTAATGGATCTGGTATTGTTGAAGAACACGAATCTGACCGTTTTTATTTAGTCTATGCTAAACCTAAATGTAAAGCTGGCAAATTAGTGTTAGATCCAAAAAAAATTCCTAAAGATAATTATCGTATATCTGATTCTGGTCATTTAACAAAAGAAAACGGGGAAATAATCACAGCCCCAGATCAATATTGTGTTGACAATTTTATTACCTATAAACAAGTTATTCCATTGTTATGCTTCGAAGAAAAAATAAATTTAGTTATACCTGAAAATAATTCGTTATTAATTTACAAAATTGCAATGTTTATATCTCTTCCATTTTTGATGGTCACGTTTTTTATATATGCCCTAATCAGAGAATTAAGAAACTTGCAAGGAAAATCACTTATATGCCACATAGGATCACTAACGATTGCTTATGCTTCTTCACTTTTTATACAATTACACACTGAGTCCTTGGTCAGATATCAAAATAATATATGTGTGATACTAGGTAAGATAAAGTTTATTTTTTTGTTCTTTATAAAAATTGTATTTTTTAATATGTTTAAGTTTATATATGTTAGCAATAATTAACGCCTCATTTGTTTAATTTTGATCATATAATATAAAAAATCCACAAAATAAATTGTTTGTGAGAAAACAATTTTTTTACTGGCAATTTTTTAAAATTCACACCTAAGTGTGAAATTTTTTGAGGAATAATTGTAAAAAAACTGTGCTTTATTACATTATGACAAACGTCTCATTCTATGAAATTTATTTGGGATATTATTTATTTTTTTTTTTTTAATCACTTTTTTTACCTGGAGAGAGAATTGGTGACTTTAGCTCCTGAACTACTATACTATTATATTTTTATTAAGGATATTATTTTTGTAATTATAACATTAAATTAAAATCGTGATAAATACTCAAACGGTGTTTCTAAATTTTCTACTGTCTGTAATCAGTAAAATCATGTATTTCTATTTACCGCTAACACCGTACTTCTAAAATTTTAATTTAAGTTTTCATCTAAATTATTCAATAATTTTGATTTGCATAGATATTTTTGAGCCTATAGTCTTATCGTTAAACATATGTTTTGTACGTGAAACTGATTTTGCAGAAAATTATAGATTTATAGATATAATTTATTGCTTGTCTAAAGTGGCCGACTTTTTTATTACTTTTTTTAATTACTACCAACAATAGTAATTATGCGAGTATTAGTGATTTAATAAGGTATAAACATAGACATAAGAAGTGATACTATAAATGGTTATATTTTTGAGAGGTTAATTTGTTCATTGGTGGTATAATATGTGTTATTTATGTTATATTGTGTTTATAAACTTAGATTCTATTAAAAACATTCATTCCTTCCTGTAAAAAAATCTGTATGCGCCCATGAATTATACAACAGATGCAAATTGCCATAGATTGATAAGGAAAAAATTATTATAAATGAAAATTTAATTAATTAGAATTTTCATTAATATATGGATTCTCCTATAATAAATATATTTGAATCATTGATACAAATATTACAATATAACTTAAATAGAATAAAAATATTTTGTAATAGTTAAATTAAATTAATAATAAAAAGGATTATTATTACTACTAAATATTATTAATGACTTGCATTTATTATTTATTTAAATAAATTAAGATTTTTTTTTGTTATATTTTTATTACAATGTAGCTTTATAATGTATTTTTAATTGATTTAATATATAATTTACTAGACGGATATTAAATTAGAAGTACTATTAGTTAAATTTGTAGCCATGACAGCTGTTATATGTGTTACCGTTTAAAAACAATATCTCGTGAGTCAAAAATAAGTTGAAATAAAACATTCACAAAAATGAATTTTATGATGTACACGAATTTGTTATAAAAACTTTAAAATAAAACTAACACAGTCATTTAAATTGTATATGTAATATTTTGGTAGCTATCTTAGTTTTAATTGAATTGTTAAGTTTCACTTTTAATTTATCTGAATATTTCCAAAGTAAAAATATAGATTTAATAAGTCTTAGTAATGGTAATTCCAGAGTGTCAAAAAAAAAACTACAAAGTTGGAGAAAATACAAATGTTATTTATGATGAAATCAAAAGTATTACGGCATTAAATGACGAGGAAACAATACCACGTACTTGTGGTATATAAAAATGTCGTAGATATGTTCCACATTATAGAACGTTTTTTTCATCAAGATATAATAATATCAATACGATATGTTTAGTTTTCTTTAGCTATCGATAATCGATTTTTATTTTTAAAACCTATCGTTATAAATTTTGAAAGTGATATCCCATAATATATAGATATTATTGGAGCAGTATTCTAATTGTGGCAGTCTTAGTAGATTACAGTTGAACCAATAGTAAGACCACTATACATCATCGGAATCCAATTTTGTTAAACTTTTATTATTCATTTAAAATTAAAATTATATTAACAATATTATTTTAAAACTAAAAAAAATATGTAACTACTTGAGCCACAAAAAAATTACTAAAAAAATTGCAGACACATATTTTGAGAACAATCTTATCATTATCAACGCTAAATATGTACTGACACTCCGACCGTAAAAAAACCCCTGATATACCCCTAGTGACATTATCACTAAGTAATATTGTCACATTTTGCCAGTTTAAAGAAGTTTAATAATGAATTTTTCAGTGGCCCAAGTTCCTAATTAATTAAAATGTTCTTATTTCAAAACATTTCTATTGTCTCCCTTATATTGAGTTATTTGTAATTATTTGCGTTTTTAATTAGTTTTTTGGTTTCAATGGAGTGATTATGTATCAATAAATGTTTAGCTACACGAGATTGATCAACTTCTTGATTTTTATGTTTCTTGAGTGTTCTTCAAACCTGACCTCTATATTTATTTTCCTTTGTCCTACGTACATTTATTACAACCTTCACAATTTATTTTATAAATGCCCTATTTCCCTTTTGCTTCAACTTTATTATTAGAAATACCTAATAAATCTCTTAAATTAGTACTTATTATTATTTTTAAATGTTATTACAGTAATAACAATTTTATAAAAATTCTAGCAAGTCCATTTAAGATGCTCAAATAATATTAAATGAGTGATCAAATTATTATTTGTCACCCACGCTAGTGAGTGTACTAGCTGCCCTTCTTTCTTTATTCCAATTTTGTGTTAGAACTGTTTTCAAATGTATTACTTTAGTTTATTAAAATATGCCAAAAGAATAAATAAATAATAGAAACAATATATATATATCATTAATAAATAGATACATAACAATTTGTTTATTTAAAACAAAAATGGAATTAACCATCACTTAAGTCTTTTGAACTCTGCTGGCTTCAATATTCACATACATCAGTTATTAAACATCATAAAATATTGAATCTAAAGGATAATGAATAACAAAAGCTTATCAGCTACAAAAAAATTAATTGAGATTAGATATTTCAGGTCATTAAAAAAAAATTGTTCTTTACTTGAATAGTCAGTATTATATAGTCAGAAATTGTCAAATTAATAAGCTCATTTATTTTATCCTATTTTATATTTGTTCCTTTAGCCAGTCTTTAAGAAAAACAATTGTTATATTTATCGGAATACTCGGAATTATGAATACTACGTCAAAAGAAATTAACCTATCATTATTTTGAATAGTATAACCAGATAATTTTTTAAGTAAGTCAATATTAATTTAAACTGAAAAGCTATATAATTTTTAAATAGATGAAAACTCCTTTGTTTAGCCAAATTATAAGCCAGGTCATTAATAGTCGACACAATAGGTATCATATTATTTTCTATAGTTTAGGTATAGTGTTTGACTTTGAATAAAAATCCTGAAATTTTCTTCAATTATTAATTTTGAATTCTTGATAACGTTTATAGCCACTCTTATCATTTATTTAATTAATATTGCTAATTTATAGTTAAACTTAAAAGTTTTATAATTCCCTGAAAATAAATCCTGACGATTTAATGGCGATGCTATTGAATAAATATATTTTATAACATCATAGGTACTAAACGTAGAATAGTTAAAAATTGAATACTTAAAACTTTATTGATCATTTGTAATACTAACAAATTAAATATTTTAAGGATGTAATTTTTTTTTTTTTACTCGCGATTAACACTTTTCACAATTTTAACTCTATAATTTATAGAGGGGTTGTTTCCTAAGTGCTTCTAATACATTCATTAATTTTCAATTATACAAATGTATACACTTTACGTTTACGTTATGTAACACACAGCCCAAAAGTATAGAAACTACATTAACTTAAACAAAAACAACAAATGCATACTCAATACCTGTTTGCTATATAATTAGATAATTTTTAATAAGTATTTTAATTTTGCATTCGAAACGAGCATTCAACTACTCGGCGCTACCGCCATGTGATAAATATGAGTAACATATATGTAGTTTACGGTATAATATTGTTTATCATTGTGGTTGTTTCAAAGTTAGATACATTAATTCTATCTACATATTCTATCTNAAAACGAGCATTCAGCTACTCGGCGCTACCGCTATGTGATAAATATGAGTAACATATGTAGTTTACGGTATAATATTGTTTATCATTGTGGTTGTTTCAAAGTTAGATACATTAATTCTATCTACATATTCTATCTGCGCATGGGAAATAAACAACTATTTGATTGTCAGTACAATTATCTTCGTTGTCACTGACACTAGTTTTTACAAACGCGGTCCAATTAGTTGATTATCGAACAATTAACAAACCCAAATTTTATATTTTATTGTTGCAATGTAAATAATTTTGTCCAACAAATGGTGAAAAAAATTAAAATACCAAGTATACCATCAATAACTAAATCGTGGGTAGTTTTAATCTTTGTCTTGATTTTTATTATTTACTGCAGCGACGTTAGTTTATCAGAAGTATATATTCATAAATGTTGCAATCGGACGACACAGTACAAAGACAACAAAATATGTATCGAATCAAAAGACATTCCGCCATTACGCATACCTTCAAGCAACGATGGTTTGTCTAATCAAAAATTCCACGAAAACGAAACGTTTAAAGTGATTCTTGGTTCACCGTGTGAATTTGGTCATTTTATTATTGAGCCTAATAAGAACAAAGGCGACTCTTTCAGTATCGACCCTAACACAGGTGTGGTGAGCTCTAAAGCAGCAGGTATTTATAAACCCAATGAGTATTGTGTCGAGTTCTTCGGCACTGGCAAGGATGACATCGCAATCAACATATGTTTACCTGTAACTGAAATTACGACACTCAATGATGGAATCCGTGTTGATTTGATCCTTACAGTTCTTATGATCTTGTCTGTACCATTTTTGATTATTACGTTCACTGTATTTGCTTGTATAAAGAAACTCAGAAATTTCCACGGGAAATCACTTATGTGTCATGTGATAAGTTTAATTGTAGCTTACATTTCCTTAGCGTTCACACAACTTAATAGTTCTCTATCAAAATTCGCATGCTTTTGTTCAGGTAAAATCTACCGAACACGATTGTAGTTCGTTAGAATAGTAATAAATTATCAATATTCAAAAAAAAAATTTTTATAACATTTTCTTTTGACAATAATTAAACAAAAGAAAATTAATGAAAATTATTGTTATTAGTTATTATATAAACTAAATACTTAATTTTAGGTGAATTTTAATATGTAAGACAAAATAGAATACAAAACATATAGACGATAAAAAAATGTATTCTATGGAACATTATTACAATTTACTATTATTTCGTAACATCTACTGACAAATTAAAATTAAGCAAAATGTATTGGCTATTATACCCTTAAATGAATGATTTTTTAAATATTTAACATTTTTCTTATAATTATAAAAGAAGAAGAATTGAAATGTTTGGTGCAACTATCAGATAAATCTAACTTTTTCAGAAAATAATTGTTTGTTAATTTTGAATAAAAATTATTTTTCTACGTTATTACAAAAATGAATTCTATATTACTATATTGCAATACAAATATATATATATATTTGTATAGATATTAAATTCAGAAAAAAATATTTTATCATACTTTTTCTTAAAAAATATTAATAATATTGCTTCTCTTGAAAACTTATCTTAACTTATCTGTTTGTTGCACCAAACCCTTTCAATTATAAGATTAATTATTAATCTCATGACGACTAATAACTACGCCTTTTAACATATTTTTTGGTCATCATTTGTTACTTAGAAGTATTACCTTGTGCAATTTCTTTTTGTTTTAAGATTATAATTTCTATAACATACATAGTTCGATTAACTTTTTCTTAATGTACCAATTAAATCATAAGCACTCTATAACAATTGACATTAAAAATGAATTGAAATTTTAGGTTAATATTCTGCACGTAAAATATATAATTTTTAATTCATTATTTCTCAAACCTTCATAATACATCATTCAACTTTCTCGTTTAAATTATCGCACCTGAAGATACGCACAATCATTAATTTTTTGCTGATGGTTATTGACCTTTATATGTACAAGACATTCAATTATTTAGCTTAAACATATTATTTAAATAATACTTTAAACTATAAATACCGTTATTCTAATAAATATGAATATTTAAAAATTTCTTGGATACATTTACTAGTATTGTTATTTAGTAGTCAGTTTATAAACAACGCTTTATTTTTAAAAGAGGAAATATATATATATATATATATATATACAATTATATTATATTTTTACCAAATACCTTTTGCCTCGTTAATTTCTATTCATTTTATAATGATTAAGTGTATATATTTTTTTGTTATAGCATACATTATTCAGTTTTCCTTCCTAGCCTCATTTTTCTGGCTAAATGTTATGTGCTTCGATTTGTGGTGGACCTTCAGGTAAATGGTGTATAATTATTACTATTATTAGTTTAAGTTGCCACATAAAATGTGTTATACCTTTTTACACCTTAAACACCTTATCAATGAAAAATAACTAAAAGTATTTTCCAAAGAGCAATATACCTCAAGTTATTCTTTATTATATCAGATTGACTACTTAACTTTACAAAATTGTTTTAAACTGTAGGTCAATAGGTGTTTTTTTTATCTAGCATCTTTTGTTGACGAATGGTGTCCGTTGTCAATCGTTTAATTAAATTGAACTATACTAGTAGTTATACGTAGCAAAAGTAACCCTTACTACCCATGCACATATGTCTATTAGTTACGACATGTCATAGTTTTTTAATTACTTTGTGTAAAAACATACCTTGTTTATTATCTAGTCTGTCCCCTTGGTAGTAATTTGACATCATTACTATGAAAAGTTACAAATTATATACAATTGTACACACATGACAACTGTGTATCCTAATTATACTTGTTAGTATTAATTTATTACAAAATTAATATTCAATGTAATAATAATGAACAAATTAATTTTTTCTCGTATTAAAAGTATTAATATTAAGTTAATGAATTATATATTTCAGCGGTTGTAGACCAATGAGAGGACGTGCAAAAGAGAGAGATTCTAAAAAATTTATTCTCCATTCTATATATGCCTGGGGAGGTCCACTTATAATATTTTTTATTACATTTTATATGGAATTATCGACAAGCCTAAATTCGACTGAATATCAGCCAGACTTTGGATTGCGTAGTTGTTGGTTTCATAGTGAGTTCAAAATACATGTACATGTGATAATTTTTAGTCACTGAAATTGTACCAATACCAATACAAAGTAACTGTATCGATTTAATAGCAGTTCAATATAAAAAATTAATGTGTTTAATGTATAAATTATAGATTAAAATTGTTGACATTCATAGTGAATGTTCAGTTTTAATCGTTTATATTGTGCATGAAATAATTGTTTACCAAAAAATTTTAAATATTTGTGGTATAATGGGTGTAAGTGCCGAAAATTAAAAAAATAATTTCATCAAAGTGATTTATGTAACCACGTCAATGCTGTAAAAAAAAGTTTTCTTCAATAGCTATCGGATAATCGTAAAAATAAGTATTCAAAAGTAGAACAGCCAATTGTGACTTAAGGTAAAATTGATTGGTACAATTGATTTATCGAAAAACAATTTTTGGTAGTAGTTTGCTCGGACCTACAATTATTAATTAGCCTCATTTATGATCTAACTTTTTATTCATTGAAACCCAAAATATACAAAAAATAATTTAATAAATTTAGTTAAAATAAATATAAAATGTACTACATAACATTCATGGATGTGCGTACAGAATGGGTACTTTTGCTGCCCCTGACAGCAAACCCTTAGAGCCTGACTGGTCTAATTTTATTAAACTGGATCGTTTTCATTTAGTAGTTAATAGAGTAAAGGCTAATTTATTTAAGATTTAAGGAAGAGCTATCATACTTTATTTTATAAAATTTCCATTATGAGGTTAATTTATGAATTTTTAATAATAAATGCCTTGCAAGTCCATTAAATCTGTGAAAAAATATAGCCCCATAAAAATTGTTACTGCATCCGAATTGTATATTTTTGCGCGCGCTTATGTTAACATTTAATGTTAAAGTAATATATTTATATTAATAAATTATCAATGTACAATGTTTTTGTAAAAAAGAAAAATACATTTCTCTATTATTTTAGCAAAAACTGCTACCCTAATATATTTTTATGGACCTATCGGTGTAATTCTATTAGCGAATTCGTTGATGTTTATCCATACTGCATTGATGATCCTCAAACATATGAGAGAAGCAAAAGTACTTCAAGGATCTGAAAGCAAAAAAAGTGTCGATCATGAAAAACAAAAGTAATGCAAAATATTTATTTAGAGCGTATGATTTCATTAACAATTTAAAAATGTATTTTTTTTTTTAATTAAGACAACCTAGCAAGATATTTTTTAAAGTTAAAAGCAAATTTTATAATGTTAAATATATGTTCTTATGTATGAACCATTGAAGCCACTTTAGGGAGTTAACCTATCGCGTTCCCTTTATTAATACACTTGAATATATCTTTTTTATTATTCCTCTTTGTTTGACGTTAATTTAAGCTCATTAAATTATGTATTTTATTTTTGTATTTATTATGTTATGTCGACTTAATCATGTTATCCATTTGCAGATTTCTGCTGTACTTCAAGTTATTCCTCGTAATGGGAGTAAATTGGCTAGCAGAAATAATATCGTGGGCCTTTGATAACCAGGGCCATTGGTGGTACGTGACTGATATTGGAAATGCGTTACAAGGAGTGTTAATATTTTTAATTTTTGTTTGTAAAAAACGAGTACTAAGATTAGTGAACAAGAAGTTTTGTCCAGGAGTAGAGATTGTCAAATCATCAACTGTTGTATCAAATAGGACAACGAGTAGTACTTACACACAATCAACTGTGGTTCCCAAGGATTCGGTTGAAATGAACACACATCTTGTTTCAGATTTTAAGGCTTAAAACTGCTTAATATTTTTTCATGATTTATTGTATTTGTACACATTATCATAGTTTTATTTAAATTTTGTAAAACATATTAAAAACAAAATGTTTATTGTTTTTTAACTATTTTTAAATTACCTTAATTAAATTTTTTATACTATTTAAATTTTTATGTGTTCGACCTATTTAGATATTTATATTTTTTTAATTATTGATTTTACTCAACTTGTAACTCAACGATTTAAATTATGTTAATATTAAAAATTATTTTGTGTTAATTTATAGTTTATTTATATATATACAGGGTGATTCATTCAGAATAAGACACTCATTTTCTCGGTCATTATTGAAAATTTAAAATTTTTGGTAAGGAAATTTTGTTTTATACAAAAAACTCTACAATAATATGTAGTAAAAACATCATTTTCTTCATCCCTTCAAAGTTACAAAAGATTAACTTGAATTTTCTTAAATGGGAACCCCTATTTTGAATTTGTTATTATGATTTAAAATAAAAATACAAACAATTTTGGTATTATAAATTATTTTCGGATCGTTCGTATATTACAGCTTGTTAAAGTTAAATGATTTTGGACTAAATTTCTATTATAATTTGAAACTAATATGAGATTACCAAGTAATAATAGAGCTCCATATAACTCTTAAAACCTGTATAACTGTGGGAATAGTTACAGTCTATTTATATCTTGAGTTATATATTTTGTTATGTAAAATATTACACCAGCACACACACACAACAAAAAAAAAAGTTGTCTGTACTTTTGACCGGACCCGCCTATGAACATATATTTCGAACCGCTGAATCCGAATTTGAAGTCCGTTTGGCCCGATCACCCTCCAGATTTGCACAAATTTGCGAAAAACTGCAGTTATAGCCATAAAAAAATTTTTATGGACCCGGATCAATATATTGATATATTAATTTACTGAATATGAATCTGAACGTTAATTAGTCTGTTAAACCGTCAAAATTTGAAAAATAAACCTCAAAAATTGCAATAAATCATAAAAAATTGAAATTATCAAGATGAAAAAAATTTTTTGGATTCAGATTGAGTATGATTTTTATGTAATTTTGTTCTTACAAAGAATACGAGAGAATTTTAAACTCTCTTCGTCTCTTTCATTATTCCTATAAAATTGCATTCTGAAATAGAGTTCGAATTTGGGATTCATTAAAAATTCCTTACGATCGCTTGTGCCTGCAACCAGGGCACCTCCACGTATTGACGGTTGGCAACAGAACCATCTGGCAGAGATCTTGGATTAACGGCGATGTGCCGTCATGGGAGGTACAAGTGATAAGTACTTTACGATGCAGGGATCCGGAAACTTAGTATGAGCGTCTGATCAGGGTGATAAAGCAGGCCTTGTATTATGAGAAACTCGCCATAAACGTAACAAAATGAATCAGGACTTTTATTACAAAGATGAGAACTACTTTTTATAATGGTATACTCTCCAGTAGCCACGTTTCCCACTACTGATGAAGAGCTGCAGTAGCTTGATGACAACGCCTGCTTTCTCTACTTTGTCAAGTCATTAACAATCGTGTTTCATAGATTTTTTCTCATATTTATAACTGCAATTTTTTAAAATTTTAAAACGTTAATGGGTCAAGAACACCAGATTTAAATCCAGTGAAACAAAATACATAAAAATAATACTCAATCTGAATCCAAACAATTTTTTTCATCTTAATAATTTCGATTTTTCATGATTTATTGAAATTTTTGGGGTTTTTTCGGTATTTTTTAAAAATGTTAACGGCTCAACGGGCTAATTACCGTTCAGATTCAGATTCAGTAAATTGACATACATAAAAATCATACTTGATCCGGGTCCAAAAAAATTTTTTCATCGCTGTGACTGCAATTTTTGCAAATCTGGAGGGTGACCGGACCAAACGGACTTCAAATTCGGATTCAGCAGTTCGAAATACATGTTCATATGTGAGTCCGGTCAAAAGTACAGATAACTTTTGTGTGTGTGTGTGTGTGCTGGTGTAATAGTTTTTTACATAACAAAATATATGACTCAAGATATAAATAGACTTTAACTATTCCACCAAATATATAGGTTTTAAGTGTTGTATGGAGCGATGAAAACAATTTTTTTATCGCTATGACTGCAGTTTTTTGCAAATTTTTGACTTTTTTAGAGTGTTTTGCATTTTACTCAAATCTGGAAGGTTGGGCCAAACGGGCATCAAATTCGGATTCAGCGGTTCGAAATATATGTCCGTAGGTGGATCCGATCAAAAATACAGTCAACTTTTTTTTTTTTGTGCCGGTGTTATTATTAATATATTTAAAAAAAGTAATAAACTGGTATTGAGTAGCAAATCAGATGATTCTGGAAAAGAGAAAAAGCTCAGACAATATTAGGAGCAGGTTTATTGAAGTCACCAATACGTTTTTCGTTCTTTTTTTGTATTATTAGCAACTTTCCCCAATGAGAAAGTTTTCTTAACCATTGATATCCAAGACGAGTGGTTAGTCTAAAGATTATCATTACATAAGGTGTATAAAAAACCAGCACAGTGGGATCGTGGCATAGTTGGATCAAGTATAATGATATCTGACAGTGATTAATATCACTATCATAAAAAACGCTTCAATGCAAATATCTGTAGATAGTATTTAATTTAAAAAAATGAATGGATTATTCCAAAATCTACAGGATCTCCTATTTCATTATTTATATTCTGATTACAAGTTTTATGATTTAGAAGTATAATATACGAATAAATAAATAAATATATATATGTATCAATATAAATAGTACTTATCTCAAAAAAAAAAAAATATAATGATTCATACATTTTTCAAATGTATATACATATATATATTTATAGATTTGGAGAAAATGTATGATAGAGTGCCGAGAGAGGTTCTAAAGTGGGCATTAATGAGAAAAGGAGTCTCGAAAAGGTACATTAATATAATAGAAGATATTAATGATTGCATTTGTACCAGGGTAAATAGCATAGGAGAAGTATCAAAAGGTTTTCGGGTAAGAGTAGAAGTGCACCAAGGTACTGTTTTAAGCCCTTATTCTCTATAATGATCGATGAAATTACTAGAAAAATACAAGGAGAGGTGCCATGGTGCATGTTGTTTGCTGACGATATAGTGTTAATAGGAGAAAATTAATCAAAGGCTAGAGGTGTGGAGATCAGCTCTTGAAGAAAAGGGTTTAAGAATAAGTAGAAGNTGTGTGGATATCAGCTCTTGAAGAAAAGGGTTTAAGAATAAGTAGAAGTAAGACAGAGTATATAGAGTACGAGTTTGACAAAGGAGAACACGAGGCAAGTGAAATGAGGAGATCAGTGATGATGAACAAAATAGCGAGCAGTCCACTTAATCTTTTAAATAAACCTAACTTTATAACAAATATCAAAAAAAAACAATAAACCAGTAATACCCCAGATACCATGAAATAGACAACCGACAACAATGCTACTAAGGCATACCACAAAACGATTATGTATTAGGCATAGGCAACATCACATCATCAAAAAACATTATTTTTGCATCTCGATTATCAAATAAACGCTTTTGTATATTTTTGCCGTTTAGCGATGTACTAAACTCGCTACTGGAAAAAACATAATCAATACATACGAAAAGGCCAAAATATAAAAATCTGTAAACTAATCAAAACTAACAAACGGATGGTAATTTCATATATTTATCAAACACAAAGACTAAGCAAAACTGTCAAGAACTATTATTATAAACCTCAACCAAACGCATTTTAAGGATTTCTTTACGGACGATTCAATAATGTGTTTTACGTGCAAAGGACACACATCTGTTTCTAACAAAAAGAACCTCCAGGAAAATATACCTTTTAACAAAGAACATACTTCCTACCTTCTCTACCTTCTACTGACAAAGAAAATGAAACAATAGAAAACTTACAACCACAGAAAGCCCACTATTTTTAAACACCACAGACCATATGGATATAATTAAATATATGTGAATTAACCATATGGATATAAATTATGTAACTACAGATATTTTTGTTTCCACCGAAAGCTCCCCCCCCCAAAAAAAAAGAAATACCGAAACAGCACATCCTGGATTATCTTCACCTTTGAAGATAATCCAGACACAGATAAAAGCCCACACTATATAAACTCCAAAAAACATAAAAATAGCCTTAATTTGGGTACCCTGACATTGAGACTACCATGGAAATGAACAAGTTGATAGGAAAGTAATAAAGCAACAAAAAAAGACGATAAAACATTAACAAACATAACAATTTAAAAAGACATTAAAATACTTATAAAAAAAATTATAGAAGTCACAGGTTAAACCAAACTGGATCAACCAAAAGAAATTCAAAAGTTCAATTTACGGATGGAACAATACAAACTTAAAAAGGAAAGTAATAAACATGTTGCTAGACACACTCACGGATACCTTATAGATCAAATGGAACCACCTATAGGTCTAACCTATGAAGATGAGCTTACAGTCAAACATGTTCTAACCTAATGTAGAAAGTACAGAGAGGTAAGTGAAAAGGCTTCATACGTCCAGCCATTAAAAAACAGTCCTCATACCTTCAACAGAAAATTTATACATCCTAATAAGGTCCCAAAAGAAAGAAATTTAATTGCGGAAATTAACTAAAAATATTAATTTATAAACAAAAATAAAAATGTAACTGATGGCTTAATGAATGCCGTAGTCTTTGCAAGATAAATAAAACAAAAACCAGAACTATAGTCGTTTTTTAATCGCCCCTTCATCACAACTAGCTAATAAAATGAAAAATAATATAATTAAGGAAATAACTGATCGATAACAATTTTTGAAATAGTACTTAAGAAGTTATTAACATTTTTAAATATAGAGTGGAGGAAAAACACGGCAAAGTAATGTGTAATGATAACAATAACATAACCCAACTCACTCTATAATTTAAAATAGTTATAACTCCCAAAATAATGTTTTTTTTTTTTTTTTTGAAGACCCTTTTCTTTTAGTATACATATTGAATGGACATAAAAAGTTGCAAAAATTATGTCCATAAAAATTTTTGTAACCATCCTTTAAATTATTTTTCATTTTTGTTAAGGGGATTGAATTGAGTACTTACCTCTCCTTCTTATAAGGCTATATAGTTTGATCTAAAAACAGTTCACTATAAAATTTTTCAATTTAAACTTAAAAACGTTTGAGATAAGTAGAATGTCACAGATTTTGTGTATTTTAAAATTACGGAAAAAGCTAAAGCAAAGAATTTTGACTCTAATTGGCAATTATGATGGAGTCTCTGCGTATAGGTATTACTTGAAAATCTATACAATAATAAGATTTTATCCCATAATTTTATTTTATATTTTATAAATAATAATATTATATTATATTTTAATATTATCAGTGATAATATAATATAACATATTTTAAATTAAATTTCTTGTATAATGGTAAATGAATATTTATGTCCTAAGCTTGGTGGAATAAATATAAGATGACCTGGTACCTACCATCAAGCTAGATTATTGTGATTAGAGTTCAATTTGGCAAAAGCAGAACAGAATTTTAAATTATACATTAAATCTTAGTTTACATCTACAAATACAAGTGAATCTATAGTAAATAATATAAACTTAAACATACACAAATGGCTATAACGAAAGTGCAAATGCATGCCTCACAAAATTTTTAAATAATTTGTGTAATCTAAATACTGAATGGGAGGAGTGATGCTGTGTATAACCATCCCGTGGTCCTCCCCATAATTAATGTTGACACAAAACCAAACAGCATCAATCTGGCAACTAAACGTCAACAAACCTATTAGTAATAACGAAAAAACAGTCTTTTTCAGGGCTACCCCTTGCCATATAAATTTAAGTGATGAATGAACATCTATTTCTGTATTCGACACATGACACAATAAAAGGAAAAAAATATTGTAGCCAATCTCAATGGATTAACTTCAAAACATGAAGTACAAGAAGAAGAATTTAGTTCAAAGAAACTTAATCACAAAATTGAAAACGTGGCAAATTTTTTATCTATAAATTTGTTAACGTCACTATTTAATAAATAATCCTTATTTAGTAGATATGGAGTACCTTAATATTATGCGAATAAACATGAAATTTTTTATATAGGTCCAGATGACTGGGAGTACGATCCTATTTATTTATTAAGAAAAAAAATTGTTGACGGTTTACAAATAGTTAACGAAAGTGCTGATAGAGGAATTAAACAACGCATGGGAAAATACAATGATAGAAACGAAAATCAAAAATAATTTATATTACAAATAGTTAAAACAGTAATAAATTTATTTAAGAAAATATATAATATTTAACTAAAATGACTTTTTTTATTATTATTTAATGCGGTACAAAAATACAGAAAAACTTATTCCGATATACAAAACAGCATTAAAAACTCGATTGGAAAATTAATATTATTATTAATTTAATATCATACTACAAATTTTAATTTAAAATATTTTTATAATTACACTTTTTATTAATTGACGGTAATAATAATAAAAATTTTCTATTTAATTTGTATTTCTTCAAATTATTGCTATTTTATGACAAAAATAAAAATAGAAGATCGATAAACTTTAAAATTTTAAAGATAACTTTCTTATTTAAAATTTTATATAAAATATTTTTTAAAAAACATTTTTCGCAGTGAAATCGTACGCTAATTATGAAAAAAACAAGTAAAAAATCAATTTTTTTTTTTGTGTTTGTAAATTATAATATAATTTTAAATTTGACATGTTGAGTAACGAATTTCTGAGAAAATATGTAAATATATTTATAAATCTAAAAATTATTTTCTAATTGTTTTTCTGTAGAAATTGTTATTTTTGAAATATAATTAAAAAACGAGAAAAGTGCCCCATTTGTCTAATTTTTAATCCTTTAGTGGCATAGGATGAGGTTGACCAGTAGTGACAAAACTTCGCCAAAATTTGTTACTAATATTAATAGAAAAAATTAGAATATCTTACATACATAATTTGTAATATCACATCTGATATTCACCCTAGATATCTGTTTTGTTATAGGTAACTTAACTGTTTCATGCAAACAATAAATCAAAATTTTTTTTTGCTTCGTTTATAACAAAGGACTACTCTACCTCTTTCTAAAAATATAAAAAAATATTTATTAACTTATCTAAAAAAAGTTGAATTGTAACATTTTTAATCTGTGTGTATTATATTTGATATTATTCTACTATTGCGGGAGTGGTATTCTACACTTTATTTATAAAGATTAAGTAATAATATATCAATTCTTTTGATCCAAACCGCTAATAAACTGACCGAGACGCTTAGGCGTGCCTCAAATGTACTAGAACGATTCTTTTATAAAAGAGCATACTAAAAAATCTTTAAATGCCTACTCAGTATCGTAACATCAGTTTGAACAAATTATGGATAGCTACTACACTGAGGAATATTATTTGGATCTGGAAACCAGAAACTGTTGGACAACAGATTCAGACATAGAAAAACTTCAATATATAAATGAAAATTCGCTTGAAAACTTTTCGAAATATAGTGAACATGATGATATTCATGAAGGTAAAATTATAAAAGTTGATTATTTTAATCAATTGCGCATAAGATATAACCTACAATTTTATAATATATGCGATAATAACCCATTTTATAAATTATATTTTTAATTATAAAAAAAAACTTTTTACGGTTTTATAAAAAGCACCTAATAAATTTTTATCTAAGTGTGTAAACTATGATATTGAGTTAACAATTTTACATATTTTACTATGAACTCGGTTTTATTTTAACTTAAGTGTATTGGCTGTATGTCTATTATTGTCAATAATATCATTTCTTGAGATAAAAATAGTTCCACTAAAGTGATATTTAACATTAAATATTTATGAGTTTTATCAGCTAAATAGTATCGAATAGCTAAATAGTTATGCATGTTATTATATAGACAAAGATTTTAGCATAAAATGCCGAAAATCAAGAACAGCTTTTTCAAAGTACCAGCTTACGTGGCTTGAAAACGAGTTTAACAACTACAAATACTTAACAAGACTACGAAGATATGAAGTAGCCATTATTTTAGGTCTCACAGAAAGACAAGTAATTATTATTCCTAACACTAACACATTTGTATATCAGATTTAAATATTTAATTTATTAGCACATATTTATCCAAAAGGGATCCGCAAAATTATTCCAGAGTTTGCTTTAGGTTTGTGGTTAAACTTAATAATATTAAGTAGAGGATAAAATATTTTCTTAAAAATCACCAAAAAATAAACGAATTCCTAGTTAGATAACTGTTTATTAATTATAATTAATTTTATCCTCTACTTAATATTATCAAGTTTAACCCCAAACCTAAAGCAAACTCGGAAATAATTTTGTGGATACCTTTTGGATAAATTAAATATTTAAATCTGAAAATATAATAATACAATATAATACTTATTATATTTTCATTATTAAGATTCTGTGGTTATCATTTTCTTTATATCATTTTGATAGCGCGAGGCCGTACTTTAAATTTTCCATTTTATAAAATCGATATTTCAATTATTTTATTAGGATTGGTTGTCATTTTATAAACGCTGTCAGTTGTCATTTTCTCAGATTACACTAAGGGTCAACAATATCTCATTTCGTCACGTCACATACAAACATTTATCTAAAAAAACTAGTCTAATAATTAATTTGATTTAGGTTAAAGTATGGTTTCAAAATAGAAGAATGAAGAAAAAAAGATTAAGTACTACACGTTAGTTATAATACATCGATTGGGCAATTTTACAATTGAAGCATTTTTATCACGTTAAATCAACTAATCAAATAATATTATATTTATTTATCTATTGTTATCTGTTATATTAATATACAGTATTCTACGATGTTTTAAAAAGTTTAATAACTCTTTATACAAAACATTTTGTGTAATATTTTCATAGTTTTAAACTATGTTAAAAGCATATTTTTTATTATTTGTATCAAATAAAAAAAGTTAAACATTTTTTTTTTAAATTTTTAATTAATTAAAAATTTTAAAATAACCATTTTTTAAACCTTTTCTTACTAAGAATGACTTTTTTGATATTAAATAATGAATAAATTATTTTTATTTTAATTAGAGAATAAATTTAATTTAAAATAAAATTTGGATAAAAATAATATAATTTTAATATTGATTAAACATTTTGTCTAAGTATTATTATTTATTAAATTATGCAAATAAAGGTGGCAATCAGTACAAAAAATATATATAATTATGGAGCAAATGAATATAAATATATTAAAAAATAAAACAGAACTTATTATGAAAAATAATATTATTAACTTTTTCTTTATAAAAAAAGTGTTGTAACATGGCTAAGTATTATAATGGTATTCAAAGTCAGGTATATAATTAAATAAATGTAACATATGATTTCATGAAGTATTATGATTATAAATTTACTTTTGAGTGATAAAGTAAAACGTAAAAGGTGCTTCAAAATTAATAGGAGGCATTATGTAAATAAGAGTAAGGTTCTAGGGTCTTAACCCCCTCCTCGAAATTAGTTCAGCTAAAATTATAAATTATTACATGCTCTGTAAATGACAAATCTTTTGACAGATATACACCTAAGTCCTTAATATTATTTACTTTTTCTAAGTTACAACTATTTATTACATAATTATGCATAGATTAGGTTTTTACGAATAAATGTTATTTGAGAACATTTACTAGCGTTGTATAAATAATTTAATTAAAACCTAATTTTACTTTAATTTTAATTAAACTTATTTAGAACAAATTAAATTTCAATTAACTCACGACCAGAAATTATTGGCATGTATAACTTAAGGTCATCCGTAAACAGGAAATAATTACAAAACTGAGAACAAGATAGTACATCTTTCATAAATAATATAAAAAAGGAAAAAGGATTCGGAGCACTCTTCGAGGGATATCAGATGATACTTTAATAAGTTTAATTAAGAACTTACCAATCTTTACTTATTGTTATCTTTCCGTTAGATAAGATAAATTAATAATGAACATTCTTAATAATATTTTTTTGTTATATTACTGTGGGGGTGTTGGAGCGGATTTGAATGAAGGGTGCATTTGTTTTATACTAATAATATTGTTATGGTTACATTGGAAATTATAAAAAAAAAATTAATTCGCTATACTTTTTTACGCTTACTATTTTATCAGCCACTTCCAAAAATTAATCAGTTCCCCAAAAAAACCTATTATTACTTTTTACAATAACTAATTTTTTTTTGTATTTGTAACTTTTTCAAATACCAACTCAAAAATTATAAGTAAAAAATTAATAATTTAATTTTAAAATATTATTTTCTATCTTTATACATACTCGATTTAAAATAATTTTATTTAATTAAATAATTCTATAATAGATTATTAATTCTCTAATGATTGAAGTTTTTTTATTAAATTTTTTTATAAATTTTCACAAATTATTTTTCATTTACATTATATATGAAGATATAGACATTTATTTACCAACGTAACAAACGCTTTTACTACAGAAAAATGAATTAATATTATTAAGTATTGTAAATTATTTATATTTATGTTAACTATTTAATTAAACTTCATTAATATATTATCTTTGAAAACAAATTATTTTGTACTATTTTTGTTATATTAATGAAATATTCCATTTCTGCACCATACAAATTCAAATGTGCCCGTGTTTCAGGTAAATTTGTAATAAATTATGACTAAATTTAAGAGCTTATAAGTTTTCATATATATGAACGAAAAGGGAAAAAATAGTTGTAATGTTGCAGAATTTATACAAGTTTTTTTTATATATTTAAATCTTATAAATTAGAGTAGAGGTGTGTGCAATAGGTGTAGAGTATTTTCATAATTTTGNAAAAATATTCAGAAATATTTAAATTATACATTAAAATCATGAAACTAAAATTTTATTACAAAATAAAACATGAAATTTTTTTAAAAACTGTCAAGTGTCCCTTAATTTATTCCTTAAACAGCCAATAATATTTAGAATGTACTATAAACATACACTCAACTTTTGTTATCGCTTTATGTTTCATTTGCGAAGTATACTCATTGAAATATTGATATAAATAATCAATAAGTACAGTAATATTACATTTGATAATTTGTCATTGTCACCGGATTTTATTATTTAGTTTAGATAAATTTACGCACTAATGTTAAATTAATTATGAGGTTTTATAATCTATTTACATGTTTTTTAATTTTATTTTTAAACTTATTAAGATGTTAATAGTTTTAACGACAAATATTGTTTGATTATAGAGAAAATATAGTCACTGAACATAAATAATAATTATTTATAATTTTTGCTCTTATTGGATCGAGAAATTGATCGTTTTTAAGAAATTAGAGAAAAAGAAATTTTTTTTGAATGTTCAAGTTTCTATTTATTAATGTGAGCTAATTTTAAAATGTACTCTAATCATGAATAGAAAACTTATGTAGACTTATGTAACTTAATAATAGTGTATATAATACACTAATAATTAATTATTGAAGGTCAAAAACATTTGTTTGTTATGATTATTATATTACAGAACAGGTAATGACATTCTCGGAATACCACAACAAAATATGTAAATACATTTTGTATTCTTCATTACAATTTCCTTATTTGTTTCCTAGGTGTAATGAATTACCTTTTAGTTAAGGTTGATAGCAGATTTCAGCCTAAATTTAATAAGAATTCATCTATTGGTGAAGTTTTAACCCCATGTAAATCTATATATTTACCTAACTTTGATTTATATTAATTCAGTGTTGAAAGGACAAGTTTGAATTTTGACTAATTTCCTCCTATGGACCACCTGCTTTTATTATTTTACTTGCACTAACTATTTATACTGTACAATAATGTGATTACAGGGAGGGGGGATATAGACGTTAGATTTCTCTAAGAAGAAAATAGTTACATCGAGAAGATACATATTTTTTTTGTTTGGCAGGGATAATGAAAATTCCCATTATGACAAAATCCTATATCTGATACCACACAAACATATCTAATAACAGTTATTGACGTGTAGTAAAATACTCTTAAACATTTTTATCTTATTGAAATAATCTTTAAATTAATTATTTCAACCTAATGAAGTAACGAACAAAAATCATATTTAATACTCAAAATAAAAGCGTGTATAAAATTTCATTCGAGTTGATGATTTATATTTAATTTTTATTATTGAGTGGAAAATTATGACTAAACGTCAGATTTGTGTAAATATCCCTTGCACCTTCTCAGTAATCAAAACAATGACGTCAGCTATAATCAAACGGTCGTATACATGTCGTCGGTTCATTACATTATATGTTATACGTGCGATCACATTGCCTATCCTATGTTGTCTATATTCATATGGACAAACGTGGAAAACGGCAATCAGACTATTGTTAGTAGCAGTCGCGCGACTGGACTACGCAATCGTTTTACATGCTCACATCGAGTCTTTCCAGTACTTTCTGGTCGGTGTTTGCAGAATCCGCTGACATTTTCATATATTTTTTTTCGCTTTACTGATTTTGGTATTTTTATTTTATTGTTATATATGTTTGGTCTTTTGTTTTTTGCACGAGAAAACCGATACTAAAATAATATGATACGTCTAAATAAAACATCAAAAAGTGTGTCGCCGGTAGCTTTTGGAATTGCGGTGGTTGTTTTCTGTGCATTGCCAAACGGCGACGTTTGCTCGGCGAAAGTTGCGTTGTTCAAGTGTTGTAACGAGACGGCAGACATTTATCTAGACAATGTGTGTACGCATATCAATGATACGCTACCGCTGCGTGTACCGATGAACAACAACGGTGAGGCCAAGCAGACTTACCACAAAGATGGGACATTTGCCGTGACTCTTGGGGCTCCGTGCCCGTACGGTCGCTACCAGCTCGAACCATATTACGCGCAAGACGCTTTCCACATTGATGCCGATACCGGCGAGTTGGTGACTGCGGGCGCGGGTAGCTTTAAACCGGACGAGTACTGCATTGAAGTTAACGGCTTTATCGAGGACGACATCGGCGTTTACCCATGTTTGCCGGACAACGTGTCTCAATCTCAGAGTGCCGATACCGAACGATTAAAAATGACACTGTACTCGGCCGTCATGATCCTATCAGTACCATTTCTGATGGCCACATTTTTAGTATACGCTTGCTTTTGGCAGCTTCGCAACTTGCATGGCAAATCGCTCATGTGCCATGTGTTAAGCTTGACTATTGCTTATCTTTCTTTGACTTACAATCAAATCAACAACCCTTCATCCGATATCTTATGCGTCTCATCAGGTAGATTATACACAATTACACATCGAACTGCCATTATTTAAAATTAATATTCTTAATATAATTTTAATTTCTTAATAATATTAGCAACAAATTATCAATTTTTGTTATAAAACTACCATTGGTGGTAAGAATGAGAAAAAAATTATTTTTAATTTAAAAAAATACTTTAGGCCAGGGAAAAATATTAAATTATATCAATGTTCCTCTAAAATTATCCATTCCCCATTTACGCCTATGTAAAAAATCTTATAATTGTTATTTTTTCAATATTTTCTTCGTGTAATTGTAATTTTACTTGATTAAATTTTTCAATCAGATTCTGTTTTTCTTTTTAATGAAATTCATAGATATTTATATACTTCCAGTGAAAAATAGAGCAGTGTTAGTCTCTAAGTCCTCTCCAAAATTACCTTATGTTATTCATTATTGATTGAAACAAATAATTAAATTTCTTTGTCGATCTCATCGAATTTGAATATTGAAAGTGTAATTTTGTGATTTTTTCCAGCATATGTAATTCAATTTTCCTTTATGGCTTCATTTTTCTGGCTTAATATCATGTGTTTCGATTTATGGTGGACTTTCAGGTAAATTATTATAAAAACTATTTTTTTTTTATGTTTATATAAATTATTCAAACTTATTTACTTTTTAAAGAATATACGCTCTAATTTTAAAACATATATTATAACTGAAATGAAGAATTAAGGGGTTTTTCATTATGAAAATTTAAAACTAAAATCAAATCCATTAATGGAATTAAAATTGTTTTACTGGTTGATCTAAATTTAATTTCAGTATAATCTGTACTTTACATTTAATAATTAAGTGTTAGCTTTATAAACTTAACGCCTTATATGGTATAATTCGAAATTTTTCCAGTGGATGTAGACCCATGAAAGGACATATAAGATATCGAGAAACTAAAAAATTTATTATATATTCTATTTATGCATGGGGTTGTCCTAGTTTAATATCAATAATTACATTATTTATGGAACTATCATTAGACGTACCTAAATACGCTATCCGACCAGGATTTGGCATCCAACGTTGTTGGTTTAATAGTAAGTAAAAAATATATATTTTATGTATGTTAAAACAACTGTTAAATGTAGAATATATTTCGATATATTGATCAAATAGTCGATGAAATTTAGATAAAGAACAACTTAAGAAATTAAATACATGTAACTGGTCAGTTCAATTAAATACTGTTTTTAGTATATTTGAATCTACTGAATATCAATAATTACTAGATACGTGATCAATATTCTTAATCTTCTATAATCAAATTAATAGAGAAAACAGACTAGTACAATGCGCATTATATTAATGCAGTTTTGTTTGATTTAAATTTAATTCAATAATTTATATCGTATTTAATTTTTCCTAAATAAAAATTATCTATATGAAATGCTATTTTTAATTGTTATTTTAGCCAAATCTGCAACTTTACTATATTTTTATGGACCTATCGGCTTATTACTATTCTGCAATTTATTGATGTTCATATATACTGCAGTTATGATTTTAAAACATATGAGAGAAGCCAAAGTTCTCGAGGGGCCAGAAAGTAAAAAAAGTGTGGATCTTGAAAAACAAAGGTACTAACCTAAATACTTTTTCAAAGCTATTTGTAATAATTGAATCAAATTAAAAATATTATCTTATACAATAGTATTAAATTTATAAAATGATGTAAAATTTAACTTCTTAGGTCAATCAAGTTCCTATTTTTCTCATTATATTTGTATGTGTATGTATAAAATACTCTGGATTTGTATATTTAATGAAATACAGTCGTGTGATTTGTTATAGATTTATGCTGTATTTTAAATTATTCCTCGTGATGGGTTTAAATTGGCTTGCAGAGATACTATCATGGGCTACTGATAACGAAAGTTCTTTATGGTATCTGACTGATATTGGAAATGCTTTGCAAGGAGTAATGATATTTTTAATATTTGTATGTAAGAGAAGAGTACTTCGATTAGTCAATAAAAAACTTTGTCCAGGAGTAAACCTAGTTAGATCAACGACAATGACATCAACTAAGACGACTAATAGTTTACTATCAAGATCAAGTACAATAAATAAGGATTTGATTGAAATGAATAAAAAACACAGTGTAACAAGTGATTGTCTGGAAGATTTCAAAGTTTAATGAATTTGCTCTGTGTCGTTACAAAAATGGTACATGTAATAGTGTGCAATTGGTATTAATTAAGTTTATGTATAAAAATATAACGATTGTAGGATACACATTAAAAGTACAAGCAAATAATGAAAACATAATTTCAATATCCGAGTTATAATACGGACTAAAATATTACTACTCTTACAATCTCTAATAGAGAAATGACAACAATACAATATTCATTAAGTTTAAATAACTATTATAATTCATTTAAAAAAATATTAACATTCATTCGACTATTTTATACCTTATTTAATTGAATATTATTGTTTTTATTTATAATTAATTTGTAATGTTTTTTTTTTCAATTTAAGATTTATTCTTAAATTATTTGTTATTAATAAAATAATTTATTCTTTTATATTTTTGTCATCATATTTTATTATTATTATAATATTTGTAAATGAATAAAATCAAGACTCCTAAATATTTTATAATTACTAATAATTATATCTATTCTTTAAATTGTAAATTCAGGGCTGACACTAGGCATAATCAAGATGAGAATCACACTTGAGACGAAAAATGCCCAAATGTGGCATTTGACAAGGTCGCATTTAAAGAGAGTGCGGAGTTGTATACCCTACCCCATTGGCAACAATACTATTAAAATGTTTGTTGACTTTTTTTTTGCTCGCAATTTGGTTTAAAAAATGGGTGTCACAAGTTTTCATACAATCTTGTTCCTCGATTTAGAATTTCAAAATACGACCCTTGTATTTGATATTGAGGAATGTAAGTAAGAAAAAATTTTACCTTTAAACACCCTATGAAAAAATTATTTTAATGTTCCATAAAAGAGAAAATATTATATTTTTTTGAAGTTACAAAAAAATATTTTTTCCGTCATTAAAATATGATGGTATTTCACACTAAAAAATTATTTTGACTAATTGATCAAAGAAAAAAAAATTTTTTAATTAAGTTACTACCTAAGCAGAATTTTTGATAAGTACGTGTATAAACTGATATTTGGTTGCCATTGTTGACAAGAGTACAAGAATACAAGAGTATTGGTTGGGTTGGGTAATACAAGATTTATACCAGTTTTGGTCCAGTACTGATGCAGAAGTGCGCCTGTTGTGAATTTTTGATAATTGATATCAATATTACACAATAATGTACTTAGGTAGATTTTTACCAGTTCATGAACCATAAAAATATTTAATATCGGAGTCCGAAAATGTTCAACCCAAATTACCCAGTCACTAATAAATTATATATACATAATCATAAGAACTTACAACTATGTGATATCTTCTAAACGACTGATGTTGCATTTATGATAGTAGATTTTCGTCATAGTAATTTTTCTGTGGTTAATATGTATTAAACTCGCAAAAGACTTGAATGTAATCCTTTATGTTTTTCTGATACATGAACAATATCATCTTTAAGTATTTTGAATCTTCAGATTTATTTCAACAGACACTGAAATTTCTTGTATAAAAATTAACTTATAAGATCATTATAGAACGTTGACAATATTTAATATGCCAAATAATTTTTCCTTAGTCGTTCTTATATACTAATTTTTTCAATAAAATTTCAGCCAACACTGAATAATCGTTTCTAAAACAATTTTCTGTATTTTTTCAAAGACCATTAAAGTATTTTACATAGAGTTCTTTCAGCCAGCATCTAACTAAAATACTGCGATTCGTACGTGTTGTGTACGACAGAATTATAAAGCAGTTGTTTCTAAGAAACAAAAGCGTGCGAAAGTCTAATTATAAACAAATATTTGTACATTGAAAAATTTTGATTATTTTTTAATGTCGTTTTTTTATCGATTTCCTTAGTGAAATAATTCTAATTATAGTTGTGTATTTACATAAAAATTCAATTTTCAATAAAGTATATACGATTTTTTGTTTTTTGCTGTAAAAATTAAGCATAATTATACACATTTTTTTTTTTTTGTGAATGTGCACATACTTTCCGTTTCTATAAAAGAAGTAGAACTATCATAATGAAAAACCGACTTGTATCCAACAAAGATAATGCTCATTAGCATAGTTTGCATGTGGACAGTGGAGACTTCAGCCTCGTAGAAACATTTGTAGCCCCCGCGAATTAATCGAATTTTCAGGTAGAGAAAATGGGAAAAATAGAAATGTGGTAGATAAGCTACCCGTTATATATCTATTATCTAAAATTATTAACTGTTATTTTGTGTATACTTAGTGGCGTATGTAGGTGGCAAGTCCGGATGAGCTAGACGCCTATACGACATTTTCTCGGAAAATCTTCTTTAATTTGGAGCTCCTCGTAAATATTTGAATCTATATTTTATGACGTGATATGTCATTTCTACATAAATACAGTACAATAGTAAGGCAACTAATAGCAAATTAGTATTAACCTTAATCTACAACTCACGTAATTTATAAAAGAATAGGTACAATGTATTTCTAAATAGTAAAACACCCTTTGCAGGTATCTCTAATCGGGACGATTATCAGACAATTTTTAAGTACGTATAAGGCGATAACAATTTACATCCGTTACGTCGCACATTATGTTATTAATATTAAAGTTATTGTTGGATAAACATCGGTCGAATGTGCTGTTGAGAATTTGTGTTGTGATTATTTAAGCTATTGTTGTGGTACACCGAGTCGTTGTCGGTCTTCTCTCTATGTCAGCATTGTCGCCGCCATCTTAGCGCATTTTCAGCTATAAGCTCTATGGCGCTTCCGAGCTAGTAGTTTTATGTTCGTTTTGTTGTAAAAGTAAAATTTCACCTTTGCGATTGTCGCACCCTTGTGCTCTCAGTATATCGCCATTGGATCTATATATTTTTTGAGATACATCACAGTACCGTTTACGGCATATTGTACACGTTGGTCAGCTATTTACATTCGACTTCAATTGATCCTTCCAGTATTCAACATTATCATCAGCCGTTTCAATTATTCGATTAGTATAATGCTTGTTCATCTACTTTTTAAGACTTACTCATATTTATAATTTATTATTTTTTTATATCAGCGCCATTGTGGCATTAGTATTAGGTGTCCCCCTATCCATATTGCTGTATATAAGATTTTGTGATTCATGTAAAATACATTTAATTATTATAATTATACATTGTAAAATTCATTCTACATTCATTCATACAGTCCACTCACCTTATTCCTTTTCCTCAAAATAGCCTGACTTAAAACAAAATAGAACAACGAAACCGCGTGAATACCACTGGGCTTTGAGTTCACTCAGTTATTATAGCGTAATAGATCTATTATTAATCTCTAGTGAAACCCCTACCCGAACTAAAATTCTGCATACGATACTGGTTAAATTGTACCACAAACGATACATAATTTCCTAAATTTGGTCTTTTGTGTACTGTTTTGTAAGTTTTTTTTGTTAGTTATGTTCAAGAAAAGATTAAAATCATTATAAATTTTAATGTTTTTGCCAAATTTAAAAATTATTTAATTTTTTATCCGTTTTAATTTTACCAACATATTAGAATTTTACTGATCGTGAACATTTTAACAAGTTGAATAATTAGATAGAAATTGATGATTTAGGTTTGTATTTTGTTGCAAAAAATTTTAAATTTAAAATGTGCAAAAATAATTATATATATGTATATGTATATGTATGTATATATTATTTGAAAAATTATTGATTTTATAAAAAAAACATTTTTCCATTTTATTTAAAAGGGGAGAAAAGTGATATTGAGTGACTTCTTAGAATTAATCAAAAAATCTGAAATTTGAACGACTTTCGTACTACTGTTTTTAAAAAACTATATATTTATATATATATTGGTTAATCTAATGTACATAACATGTACATAGGGTAGCTTCCTATGAACTACATTCATTCATGTTAAATTAATAATAACATTATTAATAAAATAATTTTTGTAAAAATTATGAATAGTGGAAGTCATGAGTACATAAGTCTAAAAAAAATTTGAGCTCCCCATTGAAAATCTTAGATACACCAGTGGTTATATATATATATATTAAATAATATAATAATAATAGAATAAGTATATAATATTATATTATATATTCAATTAATGCATATTTTTCGGAGTCAAAAAAAAGTGTTACAATTATCAAAAAAGTTATTTTAAAATATTTTGCTCACTTTTCAATGACATATTTTCCAAATAATAAATACCAACATAATTTTTCGTGTTTACATTAACAATCAAGTTGACATTTTTTTACTAAAATGGCGGTTAGGAATAAATTTCTGAGAAAAACCATTCGTAATTTTTGTTTGCATTACAGTTCCCCATTTTTATATTGATAACAACGTGGATATCTTATCTTAAATATTTATCAATATTTCAAAACTTTACTTTCTTAAAATTCTGAAGCTATATCATTAAATTTTAAAAATTTCCTTTGCAAAATGCTAATGTGAAATGTTATAATATTGATTAATTAATAATAATTTCTAATCATGAGGAATTTTATATTTACCTTGTATAAAAATCGAATATATCATAAACACGTCATGATTTTTATCTTTGTTTAAATTTTTAATAGTCAACCGCTACAACTTGATTATCTTTTCTATTAGACTTTAAAAAATAGTATCAAAATTATACTTAAACATTTTTAATATTTACTATAGTACCATTAACACAAGACATTTAAATCAATATTCATTAAATTATAATTATTTAATCTGGTGTCATATTTTAATAATATTAAATATCAGTTCTAAATTATACTTAAAATGGAAACATTTTATGTATTATTAATCAACATATCTATCAGTTTAATAACTTATTTTTGCACATGCAATATTATTCCAAGACTTAAAACAATGTTTATTGATGCAAATCTATATGGTACAGATTTGAACAAAAAAAGTAATAATAAAATGTAAGTATTAAGAAATATTAAATAAAATTTTTCTTCACCATATTACATGATCAATTTTTTTTAATTAAGTTTATTTTATATTATAATTTTTAACTTTTATTTAATCTTAATTTGCCAAAACACTAAATCATTTTAAATAAAATAATTTTTGAAAAACTTGATAGAGGGGTAAAATGCATTTGTGTTTTATTTTATTATAGAAAAAAGAAATCATGTATTTTAATAAGTTTTAGATAGTTAAAAAAAAAAATTAAATAAAAATGTTAATGTTCATTAGAAAAATTATGTTATATTATTGCTACTTTTATTATATATTTTTGTAGACCTGAAGCTTTTGGCGTGGTAACTGGATGTACATTTTTAATTACTATGTTTTTATTAATACCAGTTATTTTTGGAAGACACATGATACAAAATGATGCCAGCAAATTCCCACATAGTGAAGTATTAATATTTTAATAATTAAATATAATAATGTAATATTGTACAAATTTTAAGTTTACAGTATTAGTGAAACCATAATAAATTAAAATTTACCTTTTATTGATTAAGTTATTGCTTTTTTTAACTCAATTTTAGCAATATTTAAATTAGATTATTTAAAAAAAAATTTTTTAATATTAATGATAACAAAATTAATATACATTTTTTTGATAGATTTTTTCCTCTAACATAACATAAAACTGGGTTTTATCTGAAATTTATTTTAAAAAAACCAACTTAGATAATAAAATGATCAGTACAGATGTCTTGTTAGAGTAACATTTATTACGGGTAGATATCCTAAATGAAAGAATCGTTCCATCAGTCATTCCTTTAGATGTGCAACTAATTCAAAGTAATTATTAAAAAAGTTTTCATTTGTGAAAAATACTATATTATCTTTAATTTTTTAGTGCAACATTTTATGGTTAGATGGTAAATATTTCAATTATAAAAAAGTTATGATTTCATTCTCAACTTTGTTTTTAGTTTTAATTAATAATGATGAAGTTTGCTATCTTATTTTAAAACTAAATCTTCAATTCAAATGCTAAATTTTTTTTACTATTTAAATCTACAATTGTTTTTAATTTTATTTAATGTATTATTATTTCATACTTTTTGTATGCTATTGGGGTAATATGATAAAAGTATATACATTATATGTAGTATACTTTAATTATTAATAATATATACAGAGTGATTTTTTTAACATAAGCTACTCAATTTCTCTTAAAATAATTATTTTTTTGGAAGGAAGAGGAGGTCAAGAAATGTCTACTGATAGAAATATCAGCAACCTCTCCACATGTCCAGTCATTACTTTAAATTGTTAATAACTATTGGAATACTAATCCAAAAGTTGTTATCGACCAGTTATTTTTTAATTATTTAATTTTCTATTTTTTAGGCTAGTTGATTATGCATGTTTTCATAAAAAACAAATAAAGTTGACACCCCTATAAGTCATAAAATATGAGTATAAAAAATATATTATAACTTAAAAGGCCGACAAAAAAATTATTATTTTAAGAGAAATCGAGTAACTAGAGTTAAAAAAATCATCCTTTATATATTATATGCTGTAATATACATATTATTTATGTATGTATATAAAATACAATGTTATACATGAGGTGTTCTATATTAAAACTATTTATGCAGTTTTTATATTTTTTACAGTTTATAATATTTAAGAAATTGATTTATATGCATTTTGTTAAGTTATCCCACATAATCAACCAGTACAAATTTTTATTAATTGGCTTAAATTGGAATAATAATGTGTTGTACAAAGGGTATAAATTTAAAGGAATCAAGAAGTTTTACTCTTCCTAAAACAAAAAATATTTATATATTCCAACAACTAAGTTGCACAAACTTGGGCCCCTTCATATCAAATTAAACAATATGTATAAATCTGTTTCTTAATGACAATTGTTATTTTTATATTTTATGTGTATTTTGATTTGATGAAAAAATATGTTTCCAGTTTGTTGAAATGCTTGCAGCTCTTTTATCGATTTGTTGTATGCTTCTATTAGGGTTTGCAGATGATGTTTTAAACTTACGTTGGCGCCATAAACTCTTATTACCATCTATTGCTTCTCTTCCTTTACTTGTTGTATATTATATAAATTTTAATTCCACTACAATAATTGTTCCTAAACCATTTCGAGATATTATTGGACTATCAGTAAATTTAGGTAAGTTAATTTAATTAATCTAACAATGTATGTTTAAAAATATATGAACAAAATACATCACATTAATTGTTTTAGGAGTTTTATACTACTTATACATGGGAATGTTGGCTGTATTTTGCACTAATGCTATAAATATTCTTGCTGGAATCAATGGTTTAGAAACCGGACAGAGTCTTATTATTGCAGTGTCAATTTTTATATTTAATTTAATAGAATTAACTGGAGATTGTGCACAGGCTCATTTATTTTCTTTACATTTTATTATTCCATTTATAACATCTACATTTGCCTTGTTTAAATATAATTGGTTAGTTATTTTTTATTAATTAAACATAGTGTTATAATTATATAAAAATACTTTTTACAAGGTACCCTTCTCAAGTTTTTGTTGGTGATACTTTTTGTTATTTTGCTGGTATGACATTTGCTGTTGTTGGAATTCTTGGACATTTTAGTAAAACTATGTTACTTTTTTTTTTGCCTCAAATATTTAATTTTCTTTATTCATTACCACAATTATTTCATTTTATTTATTGTCCAAGACATCGTATACCAAGGTATGTAACTTTTAAAATTTAATATTAATCATGTAAAATTCTGATATTTATTAAATATTTGAATAAAAGTACATTTAACTATTATTTGAATATTGTTATAAAATAACAATTTAATATTATTGTATGGGTAGTCAAAACCTGAAAATAGTAAGTCTGCTAAATAATATTTTTTATTGACTTTTTATTTATAAATATAGATGAAATATCAATACCAAATAAAAAAATGATTGTATAATTTTCTTTTTAATAATTTTTTCAATGAATTTTTTAAATCTCTTTGGTAAGCTTAGTTAATTTCAAATATCTATAACATTGTTTTAACTTGTTCTTCACTATTATATTTTTTTAAGTGATGTAAAATATAAAATAGTAAAAACTGTTATTGCTTATTATAAAAAGTTGTTGAAATTTATTTTCATCATTAAATTATTTACTATTATTTGTAAACTTAGTGTCTAATAATAAAATCAATGTATGTATTCTGCATGTAGTGCTATTAATATAATATTTTTGTATATAATTTTTTATAGGTTAAATAAATATGGTACTCTAAGTCCTAGTTATGCAGAATGTCATAGTAGTGAAGTTTCATTAATTGGGAGGATATGTTTAAAAATATTTTCTATTATCAGGATTATTGATATACAAGAAACTGTAGATGGAAAATTTAAATGCAACAATTTGACTCTCATTAATTTGTGTTTACTTATATTTGGTCCAAAAAAAGAAAAAACATTAACAACCATTTTATTGACTATTCAAGTAAAGAACAATTTTTTTTTTTGTAATGACCTGAAATATCTAATCTCAATTATTATTTTGGTTAGATTTTTTGTAGCTTATCAGCTTTTGTTATTCGTTATCCTTTAGCATCAATATTTTATGATGTTTAATATCTGATGTATGTGAATATTGAAGCCAGCAGAGTTCAAAAGACTTAAGTGATGGTTAATTCCATTTTTGTTATAAATAAACAAATTGTTATGTATCTATATATTAATGATATAAGTATAAATTATTGTTTCTATTATTTATTTATTTGTTTTTTTTGGCATAGCTTAATAATCTAAAGTTTTACGTTTGAAAACAGTCTTAACACGAAAGTGGAATAAATAAAAAAAGGCAGCTAGTAAACTCATTAACGTGGGTTAAAAAAAAAGTAATTAGATCACCCTATTTATATTATCGGGCATCACAAATGGACTAGCTAAAATTAATAAAGATTTTGGTATTACTTTAGTAACATCTAAAAGTAATAATTTAAAAGATTTACTAGGTATCCCTAAAAATTAAGGTGAAAAATGGGAAAATCGGGTATTTATAAAATACAACGTCAAAGTTGTAATAAACAAAAATAAATATAAGGATCGGGTTTAAAAAACACTAAAGAAACATTAAAAATCAATAAGTGGATAAATCTCCGGTGGCTAAACATTTATTGACACATAATCATTCCATTAAAACCATAAAACTAGTTAAAAACATAAATAAATTCAAAGAACTTAATATAAAGGAGGCAATGAAAATGTTTGAAAGTTAAAACAGGGGATCTTTGCCAACTGAAAAATTCATTATTAAACTTGATAATGGTAAGATTATTTCGTATCTGTGATATTTTAGTAATATTTTTTGCTTCGATGCGAAGCTGAGAAGGTATTGGTTTTACTATGATGTTTTTTTTTTTGTGTCTGTTACCACTTTTTCTCAGCTCTCACTGAACCAATTTCTTTCAACGATACGTCAAAACAAATCGTATCTAGTAGAAGATATTACCCTCAAAAATTGTAAAATTTCCCTCGTTTTCCGTAAATGGGGGAAATCTCCAAAAAAAAATTTCAATTTTAAAAATCAGTAAATTTTAACATTTTTTTTCTTATAACAATCATAACTTTTTTAAAAATAATCGAATCAAAATAATTTTTTATATAGAAACCTTAGGAATTTTTCTTTTATTTGATGTAATTTTTTTTAAACGGGCGGATTCAAAATAACAAATTTTTGANTAAACAGGGGCGGATTCAAAATAACAAATTTTTGACAAATACTGCTAATTATCGAATTTTTTTTTACTTAAAACTGCCATAACGTTTTTANAAACGGGCGGATTCAAAATAACAAATTTTTGACAAATACTGCTAATTATCGAATTTTTTTTTACTTAAAACTGCCATAACGTTTTTAAAAATAACAAAATCAATATAATGTTTTTTTTATAGATACCTTAGATATTTACCTATCATTTGATATGTGTTAGTGAACAATTGACCCTTTACCAACCCACGGGGAGGGTTTCAACTTTTTTAACTTAATATTTGAATGTATTCCGGAAAATCTAATACTTTTTTATATATATCTTAAATTAAAGCTAATGTAATATACTTTATCATGAAAAAAAAAATTTTGGACTTTATTTTGTCTACACGATGAAAATGGTTACCGAATACTATTTTTATTTGAAAATTTTCGATTTTGTATTTTACATTTTTAACTTTATTATGCTATAACTTTTTGAAAAATGTATGAATCAATACGATTTTTTCATGAGAAGTAATATTTATATAAATCTTTCATTCAACATACTTTTTTTTTTAAATCGGACCATTGCCCTATTTATGGGGGGGTTCAAATCTAAAAAATTCATATCGACCAAATGATAGGTAAATTTTATATATATTAAAATATTTTTTGAATAATTTTAACTATAGATATATTAATAGAAATGTCATTTTCAGCTGTGGTGTGATCTTTAATAACCTCCAGTGGTCATTGTCGCTCAAAAACTACCCGATATATTTGTTCTTATTTACTATTAACCTAATCAAAATCATTATCATTCTTACATTAATATTATAAATATTTATAAATCTGTAATTCGTATTCAAGGCATTTATTATTTTGTATTTTTTTTATTAAGCCATATTACAAAGTGAACTCTGTTTATGAAACTTACTGGATTCGGTTAAAAAAAAAATTAAAAACACTAATGTGGTTCAAATTTTTTTTTTTTTGTAATATGTCTACATTAATCATTTTTTATAATTAACCAGAAAATATTAAGTCTATTCAACTTAGAAGGCTTATGTTTTTTTTTTGTTTTTAAAAACTATTAATTTACATTAATAGATCTGGAGAAATCTTATAATATAGTTTAGAGAGAGGTTTTAAAGTGGATATTAATGGAGAATAAGAGTCTCGAAAAAGTACATTAATATAATAAAGGATATGTATTGCAATAAACCAAAAATAAAAGGAATAAAAAGAAAAAGAAATATAGAATAAAATTGATTTGATTTGGGAATTGGTAAAAGATAATATAGAATATAGAATAAAAATGAAAGTATAAAATATAGTGTTGATAGGAAATATTGAATTGATGTAAAATTGTTTGGGATTGTAAGGAAATATATGGAGTGTTAAATTATATTTAAACTTACAAAAATTTTTTTAGATTTATTTATTAATTTTTATTAATGGCTTATTACGCAATAGATTGTTGGAGGTTCGAAAACATAGTTAAAATAGTACTTACCTTACGCCTATGTAATGCGATAATATTTCAAGTAATCCAATGTTGATTCTAGTATTAAGTGCACAAAGTATACGATTTACATTATACGTTATATAGTCATTATAATTACTTACGAAAACTATTCAAATTTTAAATAATACAATTTAATTACACAGAACCTATGACTGATTTTATTCGTAAAAGATTCTACACACTATATTTTATTAGAAATATAATTTATAATTTGTCCTTATTAATTTTTTACATTTGTTGAATAAGTATTTTTTTGAGAGATCGACTCAAATATTTTTTAAATCTTCATCTAGTCTGGCCAAAACAAGATTCAAAGTATTTATATCTATGTATATAAATACAATATTATAAAAATTTATATAAAAAATTGATCAAGGCGTAATTTTAGTGGCCCAATGTGTCCCGGCGCTAGCGCTTTGAAAGGATGCGGCACAATAATCACCAAGACAAAAATTTAACACTAAAAATATATTCGTAAGTTTTTTTGCAATGTCCGCCGACACGATGCATGTTAAAGCAAAGACATTAAGCTCAATGATTAACTACCCAATAAGAAAAGCTCACAATAGATTTTTCTATTAAATAAAAATTTAAAATTCGGTTGGATTTATTATTAAAATAAAATAATTAAAAAAAATATTTAATGTTTAAAATATTATTTGATATTTATTTCCACAATAAGAAAAATAAAACATTATTTAATAAACAAATTAAATTAAATTAAAAGATTCACCAAAACAAAATTCACTTTAAAATTTCTAAGTGTCATTTATTTTTAAAGAAAAATATTCTAAGTCCAAATTAATTAAAAAAACCCAGCACAGTGGGGTCGCGGCATAGTGGGGATGTTGCATAGTTGGGTCCAGTATAGATTTAATCTGACAGTGATTAAAATCACTATCATAAGAAACGCTTCGATGCAAATCAGTAGATAGTGTTTAATTCTAAGAAATTGGTGGATAATTACAAAAGCTACATTATCTGCTAGTTTCTTATTAATACCCTGATTAAGATAAAGTATGTCGAATGAAAAAGGGATTATTAAAAAATATTATTTCTCATAAAAAAATTGTGTTGATTCGTACACTTTTCAATGAGTTATAGCATTATAAAGTTAAAAATGTAACCAACCCAACCCAACATCAACTCCTATTTCCTTAATTATATCCAGATTAGTAATTATTTTAATTATATATTATATAATTTTTATAATTAATTATTTTCAAATTATTATTGATTTTTAATATGTTAAAAGTAATCATTTTGAACCTACTTCTTTTTGTTCTTTAAAGTGAAAGTTTTAATAAAAAAAAAATGAATTTATTACCATAACTTTTAACTCAACTTGCAAGTTTGAAATAAATATTATTAAATAGAAAAAAAT